GCCTGAAAGTAGAACTAGTAAGTCTATAAGCGATACCATTCTGTTTCATCTGTCGGGGTTCGTATGCGACATTAAGGTATGGAAAGTGTGATTTGTAACAAGTACTATCTGTACGTAACGAAGCTATGACAACTAACAGGATTATTCGGGAGAAATATACATGAACTTTGCTCACCGTGACCTTCATAGGACGAATGCACACGGTCAACAGTGTTGCTAGACGTTCATTTTATGATCTACATTTCATCTTTTGTGTATCTCATTTCTTTCTTGCAAGGAGCTAATTTAGTTCAATGTATCCCAATTTAACCTTAGCATAGTTTCGAAATTACCATGATCATTATTAACGTTCATGTTACTAATTTATAAACCTACATAGCGTTTCTTTTTTATGTATTCAAGAGATATACCACCTTCTAATCAGATAATTCATCTGTACAATAACTATTCTTACTCTATGATAAACATGCGACTATCGTTTTGGTTACTTAGCTTTTTATTGCTAGTCACTACCCCATTGTTTTTGCTTATAAACCACTACACTTTCACCGACTCGCAATCCCTTTCGTTTCAACCACAACTGTTATGTACAAAGTATTCCAAATTTTCTAACTATTAAGTCAAATCGGGTAGTTATTGGCTTAGTTGTTTCCTTAAGCACATTTTTCATTTCAGGATCCTATTTATTCTATTAAGAATTATCGCTTCTTTATCATTTCTTGTTTGTTTCGTCATTTGTTCTTTTTATCTTCCTCATATTGTGTCCTTTTGTATTTTTACGTCACCCTATTTTTTCTCATCCTATGTCTAGCTTTTGTTTTGTTTTATTGTACCGTGTGTTAGTAAATTATTTTGCTCTTGTGGTTCTGCTGAGCAAATTATTCGTCTTCATCTAGTTTTAACTTACTGGATAACTTTGATCTTGAATAAGTCGGTGTTTAAAGTGGTTGTTAAGTGATAGCTTAAAGTTGAATTCCAAACAACCAGTTTCAGATTGTATCTTCCCTCCATTCACTTGGGTTTCGGGCAACAACTTAGTGTCCTTAACCTTCAATAAAACTGTATGGTAAATTCGTGTACGGATTCCTGAACTTGGTTTCCAAGACTCATTCAATAATAATTGTAATAATAACAACAGTAATAATGTGACTCCTGATAAATGGTCGTAAATAATGTACATATTAGACGTAGACTATGTAGGACGTAGCATGAAAATATATCATTCTAGATTGTCACATCGCATAACAGCTCAACAAAAATGGAAATTAATAACATAAAGTGTAATGGGGGAGATAATATTTACCTCAATGGAGAGCTAAATGTAACAAATATAGTTGAAAAGAAAAGAATTTCATTCAATGACGAAAAGTATAAGCTGATACGAAATCCAAAATATTAAAGAAAATGGTGAATATATAGAACTGTCCTTTTGTGATTAGTTTAGTGTCATATAACCGAACATGTTTAACAATAAATTACGATTATTTCTCAGATCTCAACATGAAAACTTACAACTACCGAACGTGTCTTCATGTCTACCAATTCAAATATATTGTTAGTGGTTTATTAATTAAATCTATTGAATGCCTTCCATAATATGCTAAGAATTCCCCGTTTTGGAAATACATTTTATCATATTTCTTTCATTTTTTTATTATTTAGCATTGAACTTACTAATTCACGTTGTGTTTTACAAAAAGAGGTGAAGGAGTTAGAAACATTGCTTGCTACATATGACAATAAAGACGGCGAATATCATAAATTAGTAAAAAGATTTGTTGATTGTCAACAACAATTATCTTTACGTTCTACATTATTACACGATAATGATACTATACAACTTAATCGAAGATCACATAAGAACTTTTCAAGTCGTCGATCATTGAGTGTTGACGTTATAACTCGTAAATAATTAATTTAAAAAGTTCTGTATATTTCATTTCGAAATTTCGGTAAAATATAATGTTTTGTAATCTTGATGTTTCCTTACTATTTTTCTAGTGTTTAAAACTTTTTGTTTGCTGCTGTTCATCTAAGTTATTTATGGGCATTGGATTCATGAGAACTATAGTCTCACATTTAAATCTGGTCCACTTTGGGATAAATGATTGAATAGCATTGAAAATCGTCTCACACACAGTAATTTTAGCCACAAATTCTGTAGTTAAACCATTTTATTTTAGTTGAAATCGCTATATTACGTCAATATTATTACCTGATGGAAAATACTCATCTTAACTATAATTATTTATACCTTATTCGTCCATACCCTGTATTCTAAAAGCATAATATCATCTTGATACTTTCTTATGTAGTAATATTTATATTTACGGATAGGAAAGACAGAGTAACTGTTACCGTTGCTGTTGTTGCATCAATAATAATAATAATAATAATGTTAGGATGATATTCTATTTTCTTTATTGCTATGATAAATTTTTATTTAAATTATGTCTCCATTTGTTACACAAGCATATCAATTGTCTTTATTTTCTTATAATGTATTTTTATTTGGTAGTTAACAATGATGTATTCTGGGAATTTATATAGAGTAAACACTAGTTTTCAGATATGATCAGACTGATACAAATTGCTAGGTAATAGTGAATTTAAGCCTACACTTTTCGAAAGAACTCAATTTCCAGGTTACTTCAAAATGAACATTTTGAATAAAATTGATAAAATGTGAGAAAATAAATGCTATGCAGATTGGAATTCTGAATGAGATGATATGACAATACGACATTAGTGATTATTAACACTCCATAGCAAAAATAAATTCAGACGACAAAAGGTTGTCATAAGTATGCAAACTGATTTGGTATTTGAGAATACTGAGCAGGTTGTATGAATGTGTTTTCGTATGGAAAACACTACAGAGTTTCCATAGGAGGTACATGAAATAGTCCAAGCACTATAAATATCTCGAGATAGTCAAAGTACTATAATGTTAGGAAGTTCAAACCTTTTCATTTTTAACGAGCAAACACATGTCTTAAAAATCCCAGTTCACTATTACTTCTCAGTATAGCACAGATTAAACTCACCAACAAATACTTGTTCATGTATTTTCATCTTTCGACCATAGCTATTATATAGAGGCTTGTGGTGTAGAGTGCTTATCAAACTTATAACCTAATGATTGAGGGTTGTGCTTTCAACATCAAGGTGTTGCATTGTATCACATCAAATTTAGCTTGCTCTAATAGATTGTATAGCGAAGAGTAATGAAGACCAGTAACTTCTTAAGTTCATAGAATTTCAGATTTTATAAAGAACTGTTAAAGCAATACGCAATGAAACCCTGCTAAAATAAATGACTTTATTGCCTTGTATCAATCCCTGCTTTCTTGCTTCTTTGGTCGAGGTCTTCAAGTTTTATTACTGCCAGAATAAGACTACGTTTTTACTGATCATAAGCTTTCGGATTCTTTGTCAACGAAGTAAATTGTCTTCTATTAAATTCGACTGTTGGACAACCATTATACGAATCGGGATGTGAATAATTTTCAATATAAATAAAAATAATATATTTGTAATATCCCAATGAGTAGGAAATTAGATTCTCTGACGTTTCGTGACTTAGTGTAAGTCACTTCTTCAGAGAATAACTAACCAAAGTAAAATTAATCCAAGTTTAAATAGTAGAACGGAACAATAAGAATAATATTTGATCAATCAAAAACAGGTCTGAACAAGTTAATGTCATGTCATTTCTGTCAAGGTGATTCATGAGTGATATGTATGTAAATTTGTGTGTATGTATGTGTGCGTTGTTTAAGAATAGATAGATACTACTTAGTTCAATCAAGTATTAATTTAGGTAATCTGAGTGAGCCGATTGACGCTAAACTTAAAATAAGTGAACTGGTTATTCGCAAATAATATCATGTTCTAAATTGTTGAGTAGTGTCTCATTGGGTGAAATATTCAAAGGTTTTGGGTTTCGGGCTCAAAATTATTCTCATTCACTTCAGTCTAGATCACTAAATTTTATCTCTGGTTGGGGCATACCATGTATGGCAAAAGGATGACTACTTAAGTATTTACGTAGTTACTGATTTGGTTCTGTTTTTTTAGGATGAAATATATTATTCAGTTATTTTAATAAGCTAAATTAGATATAGTTTCAACTGCTTCGATAACTAAATTGAGGTTTTACACATAAACCGCTTTATTCTAAGAGCTCTTAAATATTGACTTTTGTGTTTTACAGCTAGAGGATCCATTGATTTGTTATGAAATCTCATACCAGATTCAGTTTAAGTAAATTTTACTCAGTGAATGTTGTTTTATCCTCATCTTGTTGTGAAAAGAGTTTGCTAGTGATGTGTTCGAATTCACCGCTTATAGTGGATAATTATGTAACTGATTAATTTATCGAACTTTATTCAGTTTATATTGTTTTTGATTTCTAATATGAATTTTTATCCTTCAGCAGATTCATTTAAACATACACCTTTATATATATATGATGATTGTACAGCTTGATAATAAATTCGTTGAAAAGAGATTCTTTCGCTGAACTTCGTGTTTTTTTAACGTTTAAATTGTGACTGTCTGTCATTCTAAATTAATGGACATATGAAAGCAGCACTTCTTGTCTCATGACTTTTTACCACTACACATCCACTAAGTCCTTTATAGCTTGGTTTTGTTTTTTGGCCTTCGATGATAATTTGATGATGAGCTGGTAAATAGTGTTCATTTATGGTCCTTCGTTGGTTAGTTACAATACTCTATTACTAACTACATATTAATCTGTTTTTTTTATTGAACTATGTATGAAATAAATTAGTCGATGGTTTATTGTACCATTGTATTAATATATACATATTTAATAGGTGGATAATGGCATTTAGAAGAGAAACATGAATTCTTAGTTAAATGCTAGATATATTCATATTGGATCCTAACTAACTGTATTTGATCGATTAGCTATTTCTTTGTTATTTTAAATTGCTTGTGTCCTCATAATATATCTTTTATTGTCATGTTTAGAATACGTCCTCCATGTGAGTCGACTATTGAATGGATGAACTTACAGATGCAGAACATTTACGAATTGAACAAAACCGAAAACGTGCCTTAGAACTTAGACTTTCACAAGTTGTGGCAAATGATCGGTATGTATCAAACTAACTGAATCGTATGTTTTTTATAAAGATATATAATACGGCAACTAATTGCAACATATAATTCATTTCTTAAAACTAGCTTTATGATTGTTCCATAGATGGTAAAAAAGCTTAACTCTTCCAGTAGCTGATTAATGTTTCGTTCTGTATGTATCATGATTATTCTGTTATACTTCACTATTATTAAATTCATATGGAGAAAACTGAGTAATGGAACGTCTTGTCGACACTCTTCACGATTGATAGAAATACTTTTAGATGGAGTATAATTCGTTATTGTAGATAAAAACATATTTGTATTGTTTTTCGTCATAATTTGTCCCGTAACTAAGGTACTGTCAAAGTACTTAGTAGTTTAAGCTATTACAATGGTTTATTATATATGGTTACATGATGCAATGTAATCCAATAGGTATATTCACTATTATTATCCGTGTTTGTATACGTTTTAAACATACGGGCAGTTTCATTTTTGTGAATCTCTACTTTTTTTAAACATACATTACATGAAAATCGTTTTGTAAACGTGGAGTACACAGATAAAATGATCTTTTCAGGCATGACTGACATGGTATGTAGTTTTATAAAATCGTGTAAACAATTTAGGGGTGTTTGATATGTATTCCATATCTGTCTACAAAATGTTGTACTGATCTTTCATTATTGTTGTATTATAGATATCTTGATAGACTATAATATAAAGAGCTTTTTTCTTAACCTATGAGCTCTTATAACCGGTAAACTTTTCATTGACTGCTATTTTCTTACTATTTGTTATTATTACACATATACAGAGTATGAAATGGTGCAAGAAGATTGAAAACATCTCGAAAATTCCAAGAATCCTATATTTATTATCTTTGTCTCCCCTTACCCTCCATTTCTAGCCTAGTTGACCTTTTATTTTTATATATAAATGTTCTTAACAAGTATATGTGTGATTACATTGTTCGAAATGTATTGCGTTAATATACCACATAGTGCTGATAATCTTCCTCTTCTTAATACACTATCGCAATCCTATATTTATTAAATTACTAGTTACTGTTTATTACAGTTTTAGAGAATATTTGTTTTAAATAATTAGAATGACAATTGATTGGTGTTCTCCAAGTTCTATTTTTAGTCTTAAGTGTTTTATCAAGTAACAATTTTGTTTCTATGATACTATTAGTGCTATGCATGAAACCAAATGAAATACACTTATCAAGATTGATAAGTTTATTAGCTATTCGTGTTGTCTAACTATTCTATTGTATATTAATTTCTTTACTTTTACAAACTAAACATATATATTCTTTACTGGTGTTAGTTACTGCATTATTTTTTTTCAAGTCATGATGTTTATGCATCAGTCCCACAATCAAAATTGAATACAAAATACTTAAGTGATGGAGGTTTTATTTTTGAAGAGGAAACTTCTAATCATAATTATCCTTATACAGAAAAAGATGAAGAATTTTCAGATCCAGAATTAAATGCAACTGTTAAACCTAAAAAACGCAAACAAAAGTGTATAAAACAATCAAACGCTGAGTCGAATCTCCTCATAGCTGAATCCAATGTACCTATTCCCCCTGATCAAGAAAAACCAACTTGTGATTTATGCCATAAACTGTTTGAAGAATCATTTTTACGTAAAACATTTGAAGTAGATGTTTGTGATAAATGTCGGTAAGTTAATATATTTAAGTTAAACAATGTCAGCAAGTTAACTTTAATGAATTCCTTTCCCGACTATTTATTTTCCTTGAGTTTACGATTTTATGCTTATAAAAATATTTCGCATAACAAAATCGCATTCTATGCACCAAAATAAGCAACAAACGGTCTATCAGAGAACAAGACGGTCAGTTCTATTCGGCTCATTGGATAATTAATGATAAATTGCGTTCATTAATAAATAGAAGAATAGCTTTCAATCTGTCAATAAAATACAAACTATGGATCGGTCCGATGGAATAAGTTATTAATAAGCGAATATTACACTTAGGATAACCTTGTACAAACGTCACAGTAACATTAAAGTTGTCTCGAGAAAAGTCCTACAAAGGATGTAAAATATATTTATCCTGATAGAGTGTAAGTTGTGTTTTGGTGCATGTTTAGTAAAAGAATAACTAATGGTTGGGAACGTTCGTGGACTATCAAAGATGTACTAATTGTTATTTCGTTATGGCCTGTTAATTTATCATGTTATAAGATCACCAATTTGGAACACAGACCAATGACGCATAAACCAGTATGAGCAGCCTATAGTCAAATCTGAGTTCTTATTGGTCCTTTGAGAATAGGAGCTTCTGGTTCAGTCCAAAACACCAATATCAACCTCCGTCATATGAATCCTATATTTCAGACACACTCAGATTATATACAAGCAAATCAGACCACATCATACCATAAAATATAAAATAAAAATTATACAAGATCAGGCCAAAAATGGCTGTGAATGTGAGATACTGTAACTAATAAATTGGTGAATAACTTGAGAATAGTAAATCGAATAATAATAGTCAGTAGGTCAAATGGAAGCTTATAATGAAAGGAATATGAATATACATATAATACAGTTACTTAATAGTTATACAATAAGAATATATATAATAACAGTTCATAAATAGGTCCTAACAGTTACCATTCACTTATACTTCGTCTGGGTATAACACGAATAATGTAATCTTAGATATCTGATCAATTTTCCTATCAACTTACACTCAATTGCTACACTTTCTGAGTTCAAAGTTAATACGATCTTTTTTACGAAACCTGTTTAAGGCATCAATTGTATATTCACTTAACTAATGGCAAGTGGCTAATGACAGACAATATTAAAGTGACTATGAACCATAACAAGAATAAAAACATTAACAAATACAATCCACTTTAGAATACAGCTAAGATATATTTTATTCTTTTTAAGTCACACCTTACTGAGAAATAAATTGCAAGGACACTGATATACTTATGTTAATTGTAAACCATTTATGATAACGTTACAAGCCAGTAATAGTTACATTATGCAGGACCCCATCCAGAAAGGTTATTTCGATAACTAATCACTTACTTACGTCTGTTACCCTCCGTGGAGGAGCCTAGGCCTCCCATAAGGATTTCAATAACTAATATTGGCCTAATATAGCAATATTTTATTTAATATTATCAAGTGGTTTTCTACATCTTCTACTAGCTCTCATTAGGTAACATGTAGAGCTAACACTCTATGTTGACTGTCAAAATCAAAAGTTTATTACTGAGAAAGATAAACAATTAATTAAATGTGTAATAGTTTTACACGGTTTATAAGCCTTCCGAGGCATGTAGTCTTTTTTGTTCTCTTAAAGTAAACTACTTTTTCTATTCAAAGTATTAGTGCTCAGTTTCCTTAAAATGTCGAAGAAGAAACGTTACTAGACGCCTACCTAAAAACAAATTGAAACTTATAACTTTTTGAGTAAATTGTGCAAACAAACCCTCTAGCTACTCATTGAATTAATAGTGACTTAGTTGAGAGTTTACTCTGAACAAACAAACGGAACTGATTCTTACCATATTATTGTGTTTAGGATAGAATATACAGCATAATGAGTTAGAGTTTCATGTACTTTTGCTCTCATACTGTTCGTTTTGCTGTTTTATGAAATAACATATATTTTATTGTCAAATCTTAGTCACTGAAACGCTGAATAAATTTCTTCTCCACTAAGTTATTTATGGGACATACCTTGTGTTATATTCTAGTGAAGATTACATTACGAGTAACTTCTGAGACCTATTAATGGACTAATATTATTTATATATTCTTATGGTAAAAATATTCAGTAACTAGACTGTGTATATCTATATTCCTCTTATTATTAGCTTCGTTTTGACCTATGGATTATTATTGTACGACTTACTGTTCCTATGTTATACTCAGTTTATTAATTGCTGTCTCCAACGTTCATAGCCACTTTTGGCTATATTTTGTACGAATGTTATTTCCTATTTTATGGTGCGTTGCTGTCTGTTTGGTTGATATATAAACCCAGTATGTTTGGAATATATGATTCACATAGTGGAGGCTGTTGTTGGCATTCTGGACTCAATTGGACGGGCTAGGCGAGCAACGGACCAATAGGACGCTAAACTAATCAGACCGGCCAGACGTCATTGGTTTAGTGCAATATAAGAGCGAATAAGTCGTATTTTGATTTGCGAATAGATTACGTGATAACTAACAGACCATCAAGTCACAACATCTTGTGTGTTTAACTTCCGGATTCCCGGGATGGTGACTAAAACGTGCCATCTTGATTCCAATTGACCCGGCTGTATGATATATTTGCATCTGATCTACTTTTGAATATCAAGTAATGTATGCTATAATTTGCAATATATGTTGACAATCGACTTATTACTCCTCATGAATCTCTACTGAATAGATATCGGAAGGTTAAAACGACAGATCCGTTATTTTATCTACCAATTCTGTGACACAAACAAATATCAATCATAGTTAATTTAAACATAACTAGTTGTGAAATACGAATGTTTGAATATTACTGATGGTTTTGTCTTTTAGATTATAATATCAGAGTATCTTCTAACTATTATTTGCTTCAGTTATTTTTTTAATTCAATTTATTATTTAATCTCATACTTTCTTCTATTTTTTTGTCTAGAGATCCTAAAAATATTCATGCTTTAATTACTAAAAGTTCAGCAAAAGAACGTTATTTACTAAATGATGTTGATTTAGACATACGTGAACCGAAATTGAACTATTTGTTGAAACGTAATCCACACAATTCAAGTTGGGGTGATATGAGGCTGTATTTGGAGGCACAAGTAACAATAACTGTTTTAGAAACTTGTTATTCCATTTATCATTGGTTTTTCATATTTTTATTCTTATGTTAAAATGTTACTCGATCTCAATTTTCTACTAATAGTGTTTTTGTAAAGATGAGCAGTAATAATTAGCTTCTTAGATAAGACTTTCTTTTGATTGGGAGTGTAGCTTATTTCAGTATTCAATAGATCACAACATTTATTGATCTCTTATTTTGTCGTTAAATTTTAACATGAACCTCTATGAGTTTGCTCCCAGATTATAACTGGCAAAGAGCTATTAGACAAGGAATAGATGGATATTCAATAATCCTTGACTATGAGTGATTCACTAGTGGAATATAGTTTATGGTCATAGAAATATCCAAATTAATTAATTCTTAACGTAAACATCTGATTGAAAAAATGTCAATATCTGAACAACAACTTCATCTAATTTTTATGTAGATTTTACCTATAAAAGGATCTAGGCCTTGAAATACCCATTCATCATATAAAAATTATCAGGCCTTTTAAGTGCTCCTAAGTGCCCTGATACAGCTGAGGGTGGGGAGAGTTAGATCTCCCTCTCGAAATGCTCTCACATGGCCACGTGTATACAGCCACTGGCAGGACAGTCCTCACTGCCTTCTCGCGGCTGGGGTGTTGTTTACGGAGATGAGAGGACGAAAAGCGAGTGTCCGGCGCTTTAATCAGGTCGGTAGACATAGAGCGTTCACCTAGGGGAGTTGGAAAACCCTTATTCCAAACCAGTGGTGAGCATGTACTCCAGGATCGTGAAGGGACAAATGGCGTATGAACCATTTATTGGTCACCGGCTACCATGGGACTGCATCTCCTTATTTCGCTTTACTGCCTTGTGTATTAGACCTATAGATCGAAGGCTTCGAGTGTGGCCCCCTACGGAAACCACCTGCTTCGGTCTGGGCATTCGGGCAGTATCACAGGCCATACACAAATCAAGCGACTTGTATGGTGCATATGTATTCGGTACCCCTTTGTACCAATATTTATATGTTTAAGTAATTAATTAATTATTAAAGGGCTTTTAAGTTATGGGTTTTATGAAATCACTATCAAAGTTTTGTTTAGCAACATGTCGCTTCTCAAATAAAAATATTAATGACTATTGTTAAATGCTTAATCAATATATCCATTTACCACATAGGACGGATCTATTCCATGTTCTGCCTTTTAACTTCAATCGTTTTGTGTAGTTATGTGATTTTCTAACAATATTTGTCTGACCAATGAGAAATTTAATCCCAATCTACCTCAATCGTTTGATACCTCAGATTGTTGTAAAATAATGAATTTTGTCATTAGAAAATCGGTTATGAGTATTGTTAAAAGTATCTTACTTTCTATTTTCCGTAAAATTCAGATTGCCGAACGTGCTCTAGAAATCTGGGGTAGTGAAGATGCATTAGAAAAAGAACGTGAAAAGCGCCTTAAGCGCAATGAAGAATCGAAACTTAAAAGTTATAGTAAAAAGGTTAAAGGTAAGTATTAGGGATTCCCAATTCGTGTAAACTATACTCATTAATTCGTTGGAAATACATTGAGATAACTAGTCATGGAGTAGTCACTAGTTTGAGATGGTGGAGAAGATTTGTAGCTCAGGTGAATGATTTTGATGAAGTTTTGTTCTCTGAGCTGGATGTTTTGGTTGTGGAGCTCCCATTGTTCTTTTGAATGACATCACCAGCACAAACTTCATGTAGAAGTAAGGTGTTCGGATTTCTCCACATATGACTCCCAGCTTGTCCTGTAGACCTCGATCTTAATCGGTTACTGTTGGCCTTTAACCTGTCATTGTTTACTTCTCTATCTTGATTGCATCTCACAATGATATGATTCCTGTCCATGATTTCTCTGATTGGTTAATAAATTGGGACGATTTCAATGTGTGTGTTGATTGCTGATTTACCTGAGTGCCAAGCTTCTAAAAATTCTGGTGTTTTTAGAATTCTGTCTATCCAAGATCTCAATATTTTCCAGTCAAATATATGTCCACATGCATCCATATAACTGAAAATACGTAATGTCGTTTGACCGCTAATTGATGTTCATGCAGACGAAGATGAAGAATGCGTCCGCAGTGTCCGATATAGTGTTTTTCGTAGTTAGAACAATTTATCATGCAGATGATGTTCGGTTTTTCTTCTTTTGTCATTTCTTCCTTTGGTTTGCATAGGATTGATCGAGGTGATTTTGTTGGTTTGTGATAAGATGGAAAGAAAGCCAAAATTCAATTGATTTAATAATTATAAGCTTTGTTCAACAATACTTCCTTTCTAATTCAATGTAATGATTACTTAATGTAGTATTTTTTTCTTTTCTCGCACGATATCTTATTCTGCGTAATATACGATATTCTTGTATTTAATTGGCATATAATATCCTGAAATATTTACATATACTTATAGGATTTATCATTACAATTACTTTATCTCAATCATTGTATCAGTTATTCACAGTTCGTGTATTTGTTTAACCGTTCTTTAGACGCAGCGGTTTCCACATTGTTCTCTCTTGGGTGGGCTTTTGCTTGTTGATAAACTGTTAGCAACTGTAGACACAGCTAACAACTGTCTTTTGCACTACTGAAGCCCTTTTTATTTCAGACAAAAACACGCGGTAAACACTGTAGACACCTCACAATTTGAGAACCGCTATTTTAGACATCGTTACTTTGCGAACTTCGATTTTGCGCGAATCTCAATCGCGTGAATTGGACGCTTCGATAGACTTAACAGTTCTCAACTTTGGTTCAAATTGGTTCGAATCTTCTGAGTGACGAACTCTGGTCGAAATTCGGTTCTGTTAGTTTGGCCTAACGATGGCCCAGGGAAATGAAGTACAATACCAACAGCTCAGATAAAACAGATCATTTAATTGCTGAAAATATTGTTCCCTCAACCTCTAAGGTGAACTCATCTACTTCAAATGTTGTTTTCGATAATGTAAAACCTAGCCTCGAAGATAGCTGCCTCTTATTAGACACCTACTGGAATATGTGCAGCACAAAAACCAACAAAATGACTTCAGTTAATCCTATGAAAACCAAAGGAAGAAATGACAAAAGAAGAAAAACCAAATATCATCTACAGTGTAAATTGTTTCAATACAAATATGCAAACATGCCTCATTTAAATCACCTTAGCTGGAATGATATGAGATTGATTTGGTTATACCGGTTTTTGATTGATCTCACTGAATATTCTTTCTTTGTACGATTGAACCACGGTTTAATTTAACTTATTTATTCTATGGATGATCGGTTTAAATTGATTCACGAAACTTAAGAAAATTTAGACTTTAATTCTTCTACTCATTGAGATATCACAAATAAATTATTTTTATTTATAACAATTTACGCAATACTCAATTTATTTGATATTATCAAGTCAAACCTTAGTAATGACACTTATCTACTCATTATGGTTACTTTGTGGATGTTTTTAAGCGGAGAGTCATAAGGTAACTTGCATCATTTCGGAACATTATTTTCTTACAAACACCAGCATCTTTTATGTAGTCCTTTCTGAATGTCGCTGTACGATCAATTCTTATCATAAGTCTTTATATCTATCCAGCGAATGTGATTGGTTTTTATTAAGGACTTAAGGTGTTTATCACAAAACGTTTGCTCTTTTCATTTCAGAACTGAAGCTTCAGACACGCAGTAGCTTATATACGAGAGTGCATAAATCTCATGAACATGTGTTCGGACCGGAGAAATATGATTCTAAGTCAGATATTTACTATAAATGCTGTATTGAATGTGATTATAAATCAACTTATGAAAAATTGTAATTATTGCACTGCTACTAACCCATCGCATTTATTTTATAAAAGGTGTCAAAACAATGTGTCTTTTTTGAAATGCTTTAATGTTGATGTGAATAAAATAATAATACTTAAAAGCATCAGACATTTGTCACTGTACAGGTTTCTGGGATGCAGGGTAGTATTTGTGACAAAATAAAAATGGAAATCGGTATTCTGGAACATATACCAGATTGACAGATACAAAAGCCTACAGATGACTTTTCGGAAACCCCAGTTTCGAGCAAGTACTGCACCTAGACTTCCTGCTTCGAAGGTACAAAAGCATTCACGCTTATTACGGCCACTCATTTTCACGACATTGTACTGCATAACACCTTACCAATTATGCCTGTTGGAGCTGACTCTTCTCGAACATAATTCTATACATATGCCTCTGAACCTATAAAGAGTCACTTACCTGGTGCTCAAAAGACGAGTCCACATTCATGTCTAAAATTGATGTTCGACTTAAAATGATTATGGTCTACATAAGGGCAGAAGACGGTTACCATGACTGCTCACTTTCTACTTGGCGTTCCTCCCTCTTATATTGAAGCCTGAAATCAAATTGACCATTTGATATGGTAAAAAAGCCCAGGTGTGATCGGTCTGTACGATGGCACTGTCATGGAAACTGGCATTATGATATTGCCATCACGACTCTCAGGTTGGGATTCTAGAGATTGTGAGACCTAGTGGCTTGAAACGTTATCATATATTGCTCAAAATTTGGGCTAGTGATGATTTTGTTGTAGCTTCCTATTACATTGTTCACAAAAGTGAGATGACCTCTCTTAAATGAAACTTCTCTTGTGTTTACTTTTAACTGAACTGAAGCTCATTAAGTACTCCACCTATCCATTTATTGATTGATTGTATGAAAATTTCCTCTCCACATTACCGTTACTTTATTCGTGTGGTGCATTTTGTTGGTACGCAGGTGTGCCGAAATCTATCTGTTTTAATTAATTGATTTAATGTATATTTGCTATCTGAGGTCAAGTGAATAACCACACTTGGTTCTTGTATGCGAGTTTCAGTGATAACTTATAAGGTTATCACGTAACTTAAGGTTCTTGGATAGTGAAGCCTGTTTTGTTTTATACATTCAGAACACTAAAAGTGCATGCAGTATTCTTCTGATTCTGTTTGGTTGCTTGCTTTTTAATATATTTGTGTAATGGTTCTGTTTGTGTGTTCGTTGAGATAGTTTAGTGGCCCATTGATCTGACTCCAAGATCGTATAGATGTTTGTTTGCTCTCACTGATTCTCGTATATCATCGTCGACTTAAATTGCGTTATCCAATAACGGAATTAAATATGTCGAATAACGAGAATTGACTTTAGAATACATATATTTCGTACATGAAACGAATGAAACATAGCAAAGGAAAATGACACACAGGGAAGATGGCTGGGAAGCCAACTCCCTCTTTGTCAAGCGTTACTCAATATTTATAGTCAGACAAAATAAAGCTACAGACATGTGATTAATGGAATAAGAAGGGCACACACATATACGCTCATATAAAAACAGTCTAGATTGATAAGCGAATAAATAACAAGGTCAATGTATGGCTCAAGTAAAATGAATAGAATGGGATGTCCGAAAGCTCGAATAAGGTATATGGGCTTGGCATAATAACTGACACGATAATGGCCATAATACCTGGATACGTCGAAAGGTCAATCCGTCTTTTGCCCTAATCGTTAAGTGTGATTGCAACATTAGCTGGTGGGTTCCATCATTCCCGTCCAACACAAGTGGGCTCCCTATCATTCGACAAAGATCAGGAACGGTAATCCACACTGCTTCGTACAAATTATGAGCTTCCTCGCTAGAGATCGTATGATGGTGTATGTGAGTAATCAAATGTTAAAGAAGAATTACAGACATTAATACTGTCAGGTGGTTGTAAGAGTTATATACAAGCTAGCTTGTATGTATAAAACTAAGAGCAAGAAACTGTAACTCATCCGAATATATCGCTCATTGTTAAAACATCATGATGGGTGATTATAATGACATTAACTAAACTCCGAAATGCAGTTAGTAGTGCAGTAATTTGTCGGTCTAGTCTTTAAAGGTTCTGAGATGAACTCAGCTTTTTTATAAACCTGTCACATTGTTGAATTATTTACTGCAAACGATGTAAAACATTATTAATACAGTTTCTCCCAGGCAGTGGGAGAAAACAGTTTTACCTGCTTACTTACTGGAACATAAATTAATTGTAAATATGGAAAATAATGGGAGGTTGTCACACATACATCCTTGGAACTGCCATTATCTCTGCTCTCCTGTTATTGCTTGTACTCAGTTTCAACGGTTGAAAGACCGATTGTGCAGTCTGTGTTCCGAATTTCGATCGTCGGCATAACGACTTTGCAACAAAATCTCTAGCGGTTAAAAGCGACCCTTGTAATTCTTGAATGTCAGTTCGTGCTATGATTCCTTGACTCATCCTTAGATGATCTCGAACTAATTCTTGTTCTTCAAAACTAGAAAAGGCAATGCTATTTTTCTATCTTTAAGATGGGCTTAAATTCAACTGTTGATAACTACTTGGAAATGTTCTCCATCAGACTAGCTCAAAAACCACTTCAAATTTACTGATTCAAGACTAATTATAAAGTCATTTTTATCACAGTTCTCATACTAGGAAACCAAAACATTCGTATTCTAACTGAAGAAACCTTTCAGAATCAACAATTAATTTATCAGCGTAGTTCCTAGCACGATGGAAACGGGATACTTGGTGCTTTGAATAGCTGGAATTACGTTGATCTTTCTGTACACAATTCTAACGACGAATCCCATCGTCATAGAGTGTTAGCCAGTCATTTCCCCCTAAAAACCTCTCTTTAAGTGTTTGGGTCCCTTCTAACGAAATGTTAATATTTTTAATCAAAGGGGATTATATGTTGTATAAAAGTAATTTTCTATTTTGAGTAGAGTTAGCTTAGTATGTAGTTTCGCGACTTGCTGAATATCAGAGGGAGTGCCCTAAAAAACCAGGTAAAGCGTAGTTCGTTGAGAGTGCCTAAGCGAGCACTGACAACACCAGTAAGTACTTACATATCTTTTAATTTGGTCAAATAACCCGCTTCAACAGTCCAGACTCCTAAGTTAAGATGACTTTTTACGGTATTTTGAGATAATTAATTGATCAAAGTTGTCTAGCTCAAAGTACAAGGTGGTTCATGTTTTGAATATATTTTTGAGCTTGAAAATAATTCTTCAAACAACATAGGCCACCTAGTATTCTGACATTCCTAAACCGAGAATTCTAAACTAAGAATTTCACAAACTCCTTTAGTTTTGGAAGAATATTGATGATCCAAAACTAATAAAATCACACTGTTTTGCACCGCAAATTTGAAAACCTGATAGGATGGACAAACATATTATTTCAACATTACCTTGGAAATTTGACGTTATTTTGTTTGTATCCCCAAGTCGGAGCGCATTTTATAACCAACTTGTCGATGGCTTATTTCTAATGCGTGGGGAGGATTACATCCAGTTATGGTGATTGCTATCATATATGAGTAACTAAGTTCAGTCTACTAACATAGATGAATAATTAGAACTTGGAGTAGTTAAGTGATGTACTGTTTTTATCGTTCGTTGGCGTGTGTGACTGCATATTTCCCAGAATTATGTCAACTAACGAACTAGGTCCTCAAACTGTTGTTGGATTAAAAGACATCTCTTTAGATATGATGGTTATGCAGGCCAACACAATGAAATTAAGTGATCAGGAAGCTAGTCGTTCGAATTATTCTAAAGACGAGCCTTGTTCCATTCATGATTCCTTTAGTATTGACCGCCATTCTTCAGATGAAAATTCACCTGGTGCCAAAATTAAAGAAGACCGGTGTGCTGAAGAAATTACTATGTCGGGCTCGGCTGGGGACGATGTGTCACGAGCGTTGATACAGCGAAAACAACCACTAATGGAACTAGTTAGTTCCGAAGAAGGTTATGTTCGGCGTTTGAAACTGGTAAAGGATTTCTACATACCGGCTGTTAATGCTCCAACTACAGCTCAGTCCAATACAGAAAACATAGGAGCACCTAGCTCGCTACCTCACAGTGATTCACATGCTTCCCCACCTGTTGCTCCAGAGGATTTAGCAGCTCGATGGAGAATCATATGGGGAAACTGGATCCAGTTATATGAATGGCATTCGGCGTTCCTTGAAAAGCTAGTTAGCGTTGTGGAGAGTGATCCTGATCGCATACCAAAGCTCTTTATTGACTCTCGAGCTCGTTTAAGGTCTATATACTCGAAATATTGTGAAAATCACCGAAAGGCAGCTTTAATTGCAGAGCAGTACCGGGATTTTTTTGAGGAGTTGCGCATTTTTATTGGCGACAAAGAGGACGTTGTCTCACACCTAATGCAACCAGTTCAGCGTATAATGCGCTACCAACTCCCTATTGCAGAGATTCTTAAGTACACTCAACGTGCCTGTTCACCTGATCTTTTATTGTGGAAAAAGACTTTGGAGATTATGAAGGAAATCCCAAAGGATACGCAACTGATATTGGAAGTAAGTTTTGAACTGTACATTGTTTTTTACAACATTGTGGTCATATGTCTATTAGCGTCATTTCAATGTCATATAAATATATTCATATGCTTCCTACCTTCGTCCCGTAAAAACCTTATTTGAAGTCGCTCGTAATTCTGGTTACTAGTAAGTCTGTTTACTCACGTACCTTTCTGATTTCATTTGTATATTTCATCCATGTCATATCCAAGTGTTTAGAATTAAACATTTACTTGTGTATGCTTTCGGGCTGCTGTATTTGTCTATTATCAGCGTAATTATATTTTTAATTCATAGTGAAAAATATCTGACTTTGTCAGTGTTGGAATGTTTCGGGAAATCGGTTGGAATTTGACACCCCAGATTTTAATGGTTGGTCCTCAGTGGACAAAGTATGAAAAGCCATTTGCTTATCATGATTATACGCAGTTTGTCGTGTCATTTTTGTGTGTGGAGAAGTTTAAATTCACGTTCTTCAACCTCGAAGATAGAAATAATTCTCAGGCGTCTAGGTCTATGGAAGTCGAGGTACGAAATGTTTTGTTTCGATGTTAGTTAACCGAATCAGTATATTGAGGGCAACCTTTTCCAACTTAGTGAAATTGTGTTCTAATAAATCAACATACCAGATCTCTTATTTCAATACACCACTATCTTCAGTTTAACTGTTATTAGTTTGAAAAAATCGATAACTACAAATAGTCTTATAACAGCAACATTATTTAGAATTCTTGAAATCATTGGCGCTTATCACTAATAGTGTAAATTTACTATTCGGACTGTAGAGTCAGTCAGTCAGTCAGTCACAACGTAGAACTTCGTACGTACGTACATCAGTTCGAGTTGCCACACCACATTAGCACAGAGATGCAGTGGTCGATTCAAATCCCGTAGTGGTACAGGTAGCAAGAGTATAAGCAGTAATCGGGAAGATTAGGGTTTGGAGATGTTATTTAAAGTGTATAATCCAGTGAAAGAAATTTGGAAAGAGGGAAAAAGGGACATGAAGAATTCTGAAGATTAGAGTTTGGGAGAACACAGAGAGTGGAAGCACCTGCGCCATTGCGAACGATTTTGGGCCATGTCATTCAGGGTCTCTAACCATCGGTTGCTATCATCTCGCGGTCCCCAACCAGGTAGTCTACACCTACCAACATGACTCAGTTCACTTGTCAGTGACTTCATGGACTTGAGCCATGTTTTGGTTTGGCCGCCCCTAGCTTTCTTCCAACCTACTCCTATACCACTGTAGAGTATGCTTATCATCGGCTAAATTCTCGCTCATACTCTTCAACTAACTTAAATACCGCATAATGATTATGACTGTGATCCGAGGATTGAAATACAAATGCCTGCAATCAAAGATAGGTTAATTTGTTTCGCTCTACATATAGCTATCTGGAACTAATTGTATGATGATATTGTACTTACAACTTTTACCCCCGCCCACGAGCATACTCCAACCAACTCTGTCATGTAAAGTATTTTCCAGTTGCTATTCATCCTCTTCATGTCTACTTCCAATTCCTGACACAATATATTCTCTGGCCTTCATCTTTTCCGTTTCCTTTCATGACTCCAAGTAAACACTTGACTCGTGATGCAGTTTGATGTGTATGTAACACCCACCACCTCCAACGTCTTTACTTAATTTCCTCTTCATCTGTTGTCTCCAGCAGTAGACCGTTGCTGATGGTATCCCGTCAACGAACATTGAATTTCTTGCGTAAACAATTGTTTATAGTTACTTGTAATTTTTGATGGTGAGTGGTTCTCCAAGTTTCAGCTCAGTAAAACAGGACTGTTTTGGCTGATACCGAGTCCTGCCAAGTTGTATCCTCATTTCCACAGCTATTAGGTTGGCCCTTCCGGTATTCCACCTATAGAAATTATTTTTCTGGCTGTTAGAATAGGCATCAACCTCATGACTGAAAGAAGGCCCTTGAAATCCTTGGACAAACGTTGAATAGTTCAATCCTTGTTAGCGTTTTCTTATCAAGGTTGTTTTCTACGGGATTGTATTGCTGACTTCATGTCTAACTCTCCTCGTTTACTCGGGACGGGCAGTAACCCTAGAAGAGCTGCAGGCAGAATTATGAGACCGTACTACTGAAAATAAACGTAGGCAAATTTTTTCGACAGAAAAAAGCAAAATATTTTAGTTAATTAGTTGTCAATATAGTCAGTTGATTGAAATTTAGATTGTATTTGACTTCCTATTCATTCAACTTGATGGCTGTAAAAAGTAATATTCTTGTTCTGACGTAAAATGTTAGAGAATTATGGTGAAATATAACTAAAATCGTGTCTTCTAGCATCATTCAGTCCTACTCTGTGATTTAAATAATTGAATAAGATTTTAAATGACAAATCATATTGATGATCATAACTAGTAGATATTTTGAAGACTACATAGATCGGCTGATCTTTTCTTGACAAGCCCCATTAATTGATTGATCGTGACCAACTTGGTCTCGTGTGCTGTGATGTTTCTTCTCGGCTGCCCACACCATGAAAGGGTATTTCTTGAGGATTTTTTATTTGAAAACATGAATATTGGTACAAGAGAGCACCAATATATATGCGCCACACAAAGCAATGAAAATTCGAAGAGAAGTAGAAAAAAAAACTAGGGAGCGTAAAAGAAAAAGAGAACAACAACGAAGAGATTGGTGTAAGGTAGTGTGGTAGTAGCCAGGGAACGAAAAGGTACAATCAGAAGAAATCTTTCAGGTAAGGGAGACACAACCACTTTTTATGAAGAAAGTAAAAGAAGGTTACAGCAGAATCGCCACTGACTTCTATTCTGAGCCATATCTGATAACGTCTCTAGCCACTGTGTAGCACCATCTCTCAGACCCCAACCAGGGAGTCGTGAAGGACCGACAGAAGCCAGTCCTTTGCAGCTTTCTTTCATACCACGACACCATGTCATGCACTGACCACCTCTCCGCTTCTTCCAACCAGTCCCAGAGTCGGCAAATAATGCACGACGTGGAATTCTCTGGGACGACATTCGGAGAACATGTCCAAGCCACCGAAGTCGGTGTTTCAAGATGGTGACACTAATAGAATTATCATCTCTGTGTCCGAACACACGATGCCGAACCTCTGCATTACTGACATGGTGTTGCCACTGAATGTCAGCAATCCTTCGGAGACAGCGATGATCGAACACAGAGAGTCGTCTAACATCCTCAACTCGGAGAGACCAGGTTTCACAAGCATAGAGCAAAACTGCTCTCACCGACGCGTTGTAGATCCGACCTTTTACAGCCAGACTAACATCACGAAGGCGCCAAAGATGGCCCAGATTGGCATAAGCCGCTCTGGCTTTCACTATACGTGCATTGATCTCATCACTCACACCCATACCAGCACTTATGCACTTACCCAGATACACGAACTTCTCAACTACGTCTATCTGCTCACCATCCGGGGTGAGTACAGGATTGGAATCCTGTCAGTCTTGTAGAAGTACTTTGCAATTCGAAGGTGCAAAGCACATAACATACCTACAGACACTGATTGCCAACTGATTAAGTGCGGATTGCATGCCTTGGGCATTATCGCACAGTAAGAAAATATCGTCCGCATACTCAAGGTCGAGAAGTCTCTCCAGGCAACAGATCCATACCACCATTACTTACATTCATCAGAGCTGTTTCCAGAATGTCATCGATGGCAAAGTTGAAGAGGAATGGTGAGATTGGGCAACCCTGCCTAACCCCACTGCTCGAATGGAACAATGGAGAGAGATGGTTGTATGCCCTCACTCTGCCTGAGGTGTTTGTATATAGGGCTTTTAGGATGTTAATCAACTTCTAAGGCACACCCTTCTTCAATAGACAATCCCAGAGAACAGTCCTGTCCAACGAATCGAAGGCAGCCCTGATGTCAAGAAACACTACGATTGTTGGCCTTTGAAAAGTATGGCGGTGTTCTAACATTTGGCGGAGGGTGAAGATATGATCTATACATCCTCGACCAGAACGAAACCCAGCCTGCTCCTCGCGAGTCAATCTTTCTCGGGTTTTGAACAACCTACGAAGAATGACGGAAGCCAATAGCTTGGACGCAATCGGAAGTAGACTTATCCCTTGATGGTGGTTACAGGAACGACGTGAACCATTTTTAAAGATAGGGACAACTATCGACTCATTCCATGACGTTGGTACACTCTCTAGTTCCCAAACCTTTGTAATCAACGTCGTCAATTCCTTAGTCAAAAAGTCACCACCATCTTTAAAAAGAGCCGGAGGTAAGTCATCTGGGCCAGGTGATTTGTAACGCTTCAAGAGTTGGAGTTCCTTGCGGACTTCCTCCTCATTTGTTGGATCAGTCGTCACCGGCCATGGAGGGCAGGACAGTCTGACCGGTGTTGCCGAAGCAACAGGCCAGTTGAACTGCCCTTCGAAAAATTCTGCCCACCGTCCAAGACGTCGATAGATGTTAGTGATTGGCATCCCATCATCCTCGCAGATTGTTTCACTCACACCAGACTTCTTGCTGCCAGTGGCTCGGATGAGCTGGAGGGGCTTACGGTAGTTACCAGATGCAGCTGCTGCTTTCAACTCATTAGCACGCTCCGGCCACCAGGCTTCTCGGTCCTTACGCAAGCTTTGCCCGATTTCCTCACGTAACTTCCTTCGTTTATGGTCAAACTCACGGTCACCCGGAGTAGACCGACGGGCTTCAATGAGTTGTAAGGAACCAGAAGAAACCCAGTGCTTAAAAGCGGGACGTTTCGCAAACCCACAACTGACTGTTCCCGCCATTTTCATGGCGTCATGCAATTGCAACCAATGCTCATCTATACTTTTCGGTGGAGTGGTAGCTAGCCTAGAGGCTAGCTCGGTTCGATACTTACTTGCAACAGAAGTTGCAACCAGCTTGCTAACATCAATCTTTTGGTGGTGGTCACTTCGTTGGCCACTGAAAAGTAAGGCAAGATTGGCGCAGACCAAGGCATGGTCAGAGTCCAGTTAGGTACTCCAAAAGGAGCGGCAGTCTTGTACACAACCACGCCAGCGGTAGCTGATCGCGATGTGATCAATCTGAGTCCAGGCTTGAGATGCAGAGGGAGGACCCCAGGTGGCACATCGGCGATGACTGTGCCGAAAGTTAGTGCTAGTCAGAAACAGGTTGTGGTCTGTGCAAAGTTGCAGTAGACGGTCCCCGTTATCTGACCTGCGACCAACGAGTCCCCATCGGCCACCTAAACGACTCTCTTCTGTGCCTAGACGCCCGACCTGGGCATTCAAGTCTCCGGCTAGTACCACAATATCTGTCGAACGCACTTTCTGGAGAAGGACTGATAACTGGTGGTAAAACTCATCCTTGATTGCATCTGGGCTGCAATCTGTCGGGGCATAGGCGGAGATGACGAAAAGACATCGTTTCTCACTATGATGGAACTTTCTAATCTAACAGCACATAACCGACTGTTAATGGGGATCCAATCGACTAGTGCTGCATCAGCTCTAGCGCTTAGTGCGACACCAACGCCAGCAAGACCAGACGACGATGTCACAGGGTCCCCGGATACGCGCACGTAAAAGAAGCTTTTCGAAGCGACAGATGGAGATCGAATTTGTAGTACTTCGCCAGAGTCTTGAATACGGGTCTCGGATAGACAGCAGACATCAATATTAAGACTTTCCAAAGACATAGCCAGCCCTATCTGTTGTCCGACCTGCATAAATGTGCGAATGTTGAAGGCAGTCAGTTTGAATGGTGCACGTGGTTTCAGAAAAACTGCTTCAGTTCTCGTATTCGGTGGTAACATACAATTTTCAACCGGACAGTGACTCGAGAACGTTTAGATACAGTCGGATTTCCACCAAGGACGAGCCGCTGTATAAGTATAAAAGAAGGTGAATAATGTGGAAAATAATAATAGTAATAATAATAATAATAATGACAATAATGGTAATAATAATAATAGTATTAATATTGACAATAATTGTAATGATAATAATTTGAATCGATTGATTGTTTTTCGAAGCGAGAAAAATAATTTCCATAAACATAGAGAGTTCATCATTTGTGTGTGGGCTGTGATACTGCCCGGGTGCCCAAACCGAAGCAGGTGGTTATCTTAGGGGGCCACACCCCGAGCCTTTGACCTAAAGGTCTAACCCACAAGGCAGTGGAGCATCGTAAGTAGATGCAATCCCATGGTAGCCGGTGACCAACGATTGGTTCATACGCCATTTGTTCCCGCAGGATACTGGAGCCCATGTGCAGCATTGGTTTGGAATCCGGTTAAAGCGCCGGACATTCATTTTCGAAAACAACACCCCCGTCACGAGAAGGCAATGAGTAGGATTTCCCTGACAGAGGCTGTATACGCGTGGCCGTGTGAGAGTATTTCGAGAGGGAGAGCGGACTCTCCCCACTCTCGGCCGTACCAGGGCATTCAGGGAACCTGAAAAAGAATACAATCTTAGCACTGTCCAAACCAATGACGTTCGATTGGTACGAGCAGCCTAGCGTCTTTATTGGTCCTTTTCCTACTGGTCCTGCCACTTAAGCCCATAACACCAATACCAGCTTCCATTATGTAAATTCTCTATTTCAAACACACCTGGTTTATACACAAACCAAATGGACCACATCACACCACAAAATAAGGAAAAAGCATTTGTACAAGATCGAGCCGAAAAGTGATTGGGAGACAGTAATTAATAAACTGGACATAACTTAAGAGCAGTAAATCGTATAATGATTGTCTATAGGTTAAAATAAAGCTTATAACAAGAGGAGTATAGATATGCAGTCTAGTTACTGAATAGCTATACGATAAGTATACACATATAATATTAGTCCATTAACAGTTCTCAGAAGTTCCCTATAATTTGATCTTCACTAGGATATAACAGTTCTCTTCTCTGGTTTATATGGTTCCGGTCTGTCGTGTAGTTGATACAAAACGGGTTCATTGGATGTTATTCGCCACTGATCCTCTCTTGCGGTTTGCCTTTTCTAAACGGGTTCGCTCTGTTAGGCCATCCAGCTCGGAAGACAACACAAATTTACAATGAAATTCGTATACCTAAATCTCAGGCTAGAATAATATTGACAGAACATTTGCGAAAATTGAGTAAACTAAAACCATAGTTTGCAAACGAAACTTAGTTAGAATGGTTTTCAGAAAAATAATGTACTGAATGCATCGAGTTTAAAAGTCTTTACGAAAACGGTAGGTTTACGAAATTCATTAGGATACATTAGAAATCTTCAACTTTTCGTGCAAATGTGGAAAATTTAAGTAGTGACTAGAAAGTCGACTGTAACGCAAAGTAACCAACAACCGTACCGATTTCTGTGTTATAAATAGATGTTTCAATCAATGTAAAGTGGACCTATTTTCTATCAGCGAATACACATTGATCTGAACTAGAATTTTCAATTTCCAGTTATGTTTTACCCTTCAGTTCTCGGTTCCTTTTTAAATTCCCAACTCCATATCAATAGTTTAAGTACTTAAATCTCTTGTTTTTTAAGCAAGGGTGGATAATGGTTGGCAGTAGAATCCAGGACGCACGTTTGGTTTGGGGCTTGTCAGTTGGATGTACCTGCATCCCAAATTTGGTGTTCACACCTTGTCTCGAACCCAGTGCCGTTCGCATCAAGCACCATAGTGTTGTTTACCCAGCTACTGAACTTTTTAATTTTATCATTTACTGTAGCCGTGCAACGCACAGCTTAACAATTGTCCTGTAATAAATTGAGTTTCTTTTCTACTGGCCCTACCCTTGTTTGCAAAATAATCGGAATAACCAGATATAGGATGTTGTGCACCAACTTGCCGAATTTATTGTGTAAGATAAGTGAAGCTCTAGAACATGATGGTATTAACTTTGTATTCATCTGCAAGTCACAGAAAATATACATAAATAAATAAATGTAAAGATTTGTGGATCGTTTCTTGTCATACATAGTTTGTATATTGTCATCTCCCACTCATATGTGTCTTTATTTATTGAGTACAACCTTTAATATGCTGTACCATAAAATGAATTATAGCTATTCATTTTTGGCATTAATCACTGAACTTTTGGATTACGCTCTTGCACTTTATATATAGTCACATTCATCGTAGTTTTTTTGCTTCACTGTTTATAAAAAATACTTATTACTTTTCAGGCTGCTCGTATAGATGGCTTCCCTGGAGTAATAACCGCTTTGGGAAACATATTATTACGCAGTGATCTGTTAGTAGCAACTACTACTCGTGAGCAATTGTTAGAAACTGTCACTGCCTATAAAATGGCTCTTCAAAATGTCAACAGTGGTGTTTTTTCTGAAACCAATACATCACTTAACAAAATCTCTTCTCATGTTGGGCGATCTGGGGTAAATACGGGTCCATCACTTTCTACAGACAATTCAGCCACAATGTGTTCGTCCTCTGCTACACCAAATAGTTTGGGATTACCTTCTCCTGTTGAAGGCCTTAATTCTGTTATCTCAGAAGGAAATGGACTTTTTACAGGAAATCTAAAGTTTGTAGAATCACGGTTGTTTTTATTCGAGCAAATGTTACTCGTTACGGAAGAAGTTAAACCAAAGCGTCGCGTAGCTACCAGTGATACATTTTCCCAGTCTACTTATCAGTTTAAAGCTGCAATAAATGTCAACAAAATGCGTTATGAGGTGAGTACAGATAACTTTTAAAGCAGATTTTCTAATCAAATGTTTAAATGTTAATTAATCACCATGGTCAAAAATTGCTTAATTTAATTCAATCGCTTGTCATTCCACACGATATATTATTCATTAGTTAACCCCTTGAGGACAACTTTGTTCTAATTAGTGTTATTATATAATTACAGTACTAGTCACTCATTCTAGTTTAAATTTGCTAATTGAGTCATGTCAACTGTAGATGGCATAATAAAAACATTTATACTTCCAACAGGTTCTGTGGATGCTTTTTCCACTGGTTGTAAAGCTCTTATAGTGTGATTTGATAACATTTACAAAGCATCTCCAAAATTTTATACGGTGATCAGAAGAGTGATATTGATGTCGTATCCCCAAGTGCAACGTATGGAGAACATCAATCGTCATTTTCTCTGGTTTCCTCCAACAAGTTTTTCTTAACAAGATTTGATTTAATTGATCCGAGACTGATCAATTGCAGTCCTAAACATCAATGGGAAGATTCAATTAAAACTATCAAATGAATTAAACTTCACCTCATTGCACAACCAAGTGGCTATCAGGACTCAGTAGCTAAGTGAATAACGCGATGGTGTTTGAAGCGAACGGTACTGGGTTCGAGTCCCAGAGTGAACATCAACTCTGAAATGAAGGTACATCCAGCTGACGATTCCCAAATAGGACGAAACGCGTGTCCTGAATCCCACTGCTAGCCACTATCCATTTTTATTAACAAGATTTGTGATAAAAAAGATATCTATTGTATACAGTATTCAAGTTGCTAACATATTCCACTTTAAGTCTCACATAAATGCTACTGATGTGTAAGTATAGACAGAGGTGGTAAATGAATGCCCTTCATAGCTTAATGTTAATTTATTAAGCTTGGATAGATTTCCATCATTCATGTGGTAACGCTTGCTACTGTGCATTTACGTACATTTTTACTTGGAATTTTTGCAGAAATACAGGTCCAGTATATTTCAGTTTGTTTTTATACTCAATTGAATAAATTTTTGAATGGATCCCTTTTCTAAACTATTTAGTACAACTTAATCTTGATTTACATCATTGCAAAGTATTTTTATTGACTGTTCTTGTCTTATTGTTGCTCTTCAGTCTCATTGGTACAATTGTACCCTTTCGAGTGGTCACATAAATTCAGAGGCTGCAACTATTGATAATCTTTTGTGCAGTGGCTATTCACCTGACGATCTGCGGTTTGCAATTTTAGACCAAACTCCTGGAAAAGACTTCGTCTATGTTATTGATCCTATTAGCTGTTCGAATAGAGAAGCATGGGTTGTACAGTTGCGTGATATTCAGCATATGCAGCACGAATTTTTGCTTGCTCTCCAAGATCCAAGGAAATTCAACACTAGCACTCGGGATGAAGGATGGGGTAAGTTGTTTGTATAACACTTAACACACAAGTAATTTCTTAGAATCCTAAATTTGACCGTTGATTCTCAAATAAAGTACGTTTCGAATAATCAGACTATGCAATCGACACTAAATCAGTTGTCAGTCAATATGTATACCTATGTCATGTACTTTTCACACACTAAATTTACTGACTCGTGTTAGTGAGCAGATAGTAGTCGAAAAGTTTTTTATCTGGGTAGCTGTTTGAATGCTGATGGTTGCTAGATTGATGAAAGGCAAACTGTGTCCGAAAAATTGCTGAAGTTCAGAGGCAACACTATATTTATAATGTGAAAGTTTGGCACAGTGATGATCATTAAATTGACGTTATCATCGACGTGTACAACGAACATCGTCTCAGTGAGTCCCACATTGTACTTTGTGACATGCTGGATAATAATAGAAAGCTGTGCAGAACTGGCATTTGTCAGACTATCACGATTCCTTAGCTGTGGTCCGAGAGATAATCTAACTCAATGGTTTGAAACTTTATCAAACATATCTCCGAATAAAAGCCTGTGACTGGCGTACTTTAGTTTCTTTTTAATTCATAAACATGAGAGCAACTTTAACGGAAGTGGGTTTTTTCTTGTATTTTCTCAAATAAACTGTTTTTCCCACTAGATCTTACAAAGGATGTCTGATCCGAATTTCCCATTTAAAATTTCTAACTTGAATGTTTTCAGAACCCAGCTTATCGTTATGATATATATGCAAATTTTTATAAAGCTTCAACGAATCTGCAAGTGTGCCTATGTTCGAAAATGTTGAAGCATAAATATTTGATCTTAACGTGTTGTTGGGCATCACATTTGTCGAGTTTTCTTAAGTTGGTCATTCTTGTTCTCCAGTTAATCGACAGCTATATTTGGAGGTCATTATCCTAAAAACCCTGTTATCCAAGCTCTTTTATCTTTGACAGTTACATAAGAATATATATTTCCTTAAATTGTCAGTGCTAATTGTTAGAACGATACTTGTGTAGCTCCAAAATATACCTCGATTCCCAGCCAGTAGTGCACCTAGACTTCCTGCTTCGAAGGTACAAAAGCATTCACGTTTATTTCTGTTTTACTTCACGGCAGCGAAACATGGCCTTTAAGAGTAGAAGACACTCGTAAGCTACTAGTATTTGACCACAGATGCCTTAGAAATATTGCTGGCGTCTGCTGGGTTCACCGGATAAGTAATATTGAGGTTAGACGCAGGGTATTAGGGAATGATGGTAAATCAGTTTGTTAATCTTCATCGACTGAGATGGTTGGGTCACGTGTTACGTATGCCTGAACACCGATTACCACGACGTGCAATCCTAACCGGTGTTGGAGATGGTTAGAAGAAGGTTAGGGGCGGCCAAACCAAGACGTGGCATCAGTGCTTGAAGTCACTAACTTCTAGTGTGAGCCATGTTGATAGATGCAGACTACTTGGTTGGGGTCCGCGTGACTATCGTAACCAATGGTTGGAGACTCTTGGTGACATGGCTCAGAATTGGTCACAATGGCGTCGGTGTATACACTCTGTGTCTTCTCTTAAACTAAGAGATTAAACTGGCTTCATATCTTTCTTTCTACGAACTAATTCTTTCTTCCTGTATTATATCCTTATTGCAATCTTTCTTTTATATATTACCACCCCTGAATTAACCACTTATATGAATCCGGTGTCCATCTTGTTGTGTTAATGAGGTATGGTAACTTGGACCGATGCATAAATGTGCCTGGTCCTACGTTGTAGCTGATTGACTGATTTCGGCCACTCATTTTCACGACATTGTACTGCATAACACCTTACCAATTATGCCTGTTGGAGCTGACTCTTCTCGAACATAATTCTATACATATGCCTCTGAACCTATAAAGAGTCACTTACCTGGTGCTCAAAAGACGAGTCCACATTCATGTCTAAAATTGATGTTCGACTTAAAATGATTATGGTCTACATAAGGGCAGAAGACGGTTACCATGACTGCTCACTTTCTACTTGGCGTTCCTCCCTCTTATATTGAAGCCTGAAATCAAATTGACCATTTGATATGGTAAAAAAGCCCAGGTGTGATCGGTCTGTACGATGGCACTGTCATGGAAACTGGCATTATGATATTGCCATCACGACTCTCAGGTTGGGATTCTAGAGATTGTGAGACCTAGTGGCTTGAAACGTTATCATATATTGCTCAAAATTTGGGCTAGTGATGATTTTGTTGTAGCTTCCTATTACATTGTTCACAAAAGTGAGATGACCTCTCTTAAATGAAACTTCTCTTGTGTTTACTTTTAACTGAACTGAAGCTCATTAAGTACTCCACCTATCCATTTATTGATTGATTGTATGAAAATTTCCTCTCCACATTACCGTTACTTTATTCGTGTGGTGCATTTTGTTGGTACGCAGGTGTGCCGAAATCTATCTGTTTTAATTAATTGATTTAATGTATATTTGCTATCTGAGGTCAAGTGAATAACCACACTTGGTTCTTGTATGCGAGTTTCAGTGATAACTTATAAGGTTATCACGTAACTTAAGGTTCTTGGATAGTGAAGCCTGTTTTGTTTTATACATTCAGAACACTAAAAGTGCATGCAGTATTCTTCTGATTCTGTTTGGTTGCTTGCTTTTTAATATATTTGTGTAATGGTTCTGTTTGTGTTTTCGGTGAGATAGCCATAATACCTGGATACGTCGAAAGGTCAATCCGTCTTTTGCCCTAATCGTTAAGTGTGATTGCAACATTAGCTGGTGGGTTCCATCATTCCCGTCCAACACAAGTGGGCTCCCTATCATTCGACAAAGATCAGGAACGGTAATCTACACTGCTTCGTACAAATTATGAGCTTCCTCGCTAGAGATCGTATGATGGTGTATGTGAGTAATCAAATGTTAAAGAAGAATTACAGACATTAATATTGTCAGGTGGTTGTAAGACTTATATACAAGCTCGAATTGTTAATACCGGTTCCATAGTCGAAAAATTTTGAAGCCTCAAAAGACTATCAGAAAGGGTTTCGTAGCGGATTTATTTCTGGTGAACAAAGGTCTTCAAAGCTTCAAGCGTTTCTCTGCTGTCTCTATGCATTTTCATTCACTGATTTTTTTGTTTCGGACAATATTTTTGTGTATTTGCTGTAATTGTGATGATTTATACTGATCCACAATTTTATGCGTTTTTATTTAAATAACAACAACGACCACCAACCGTTAATGGCAAAACTAATATTTTTTTGGAAGTGTCAGTGAGGAAATCTTTCAAATTGAAGTTCAATCAGTAACTGAATTTTACATTCCGTCAATATTGTGATTGCATACATGTGATAAAACGTGTTAACCAATAAGTCCTGTGATTTTATTTAACTTCGAATAAGTGTCGTGGTAATTGTAGTATAAGAGATCCACCCTTCTAATTTGAGATTTAAGATTCAGTGTTGTGTAATATGTAAGAGTCATATCCAACTTTAGTTTCCCTTAACTGATAGACATTTTTATTACATTATATTTTGGTTTTGAGGCTTTCTAACAGACCTCAATATATACATGAATAAGGTGCTATTTACAGTTCTAGAGCATCTACTGCAAGCGGAAAGATACACTGGATAATTAGAGTTTCTAATTACTAATGCCTTTGTTATAGAGCTAAATTGAGATGCAACCGCTAAATCTTTTTATTGTCTGTAAATTATCTATTTACATCTTGGTTAAATATTTGCTAGTTACTAAGTATTTGTAAGTTTCTTAAATTTGATATTGTGTACAATGTTTGTAAATCACTAGTTTCTTTTTAGACGAGTTACTTTATCATTTTTAAAACAACAGCTTAGTGGTCAAAACATCCGGCTTACAACCATTAAGTCCCAGTTTCCAAAACACCCCTATGTACTTTAGTCTCAACATCTGGTTAGTGTCACTCAAAAATATACGGATCATGTGTAAAACATTAATTCATGTTTTTTAAATAAATCACGTCGAATCCTAATTTCATTCTTTCATATTTTTTTATAGTTTCTCATTTATCTTCGCTTTGTTTCTGATTTTTAGCTAAGGATTCATTAACACATGAACTTACGTCAACTTTTAGTACAGATCAATCTGTACGAACTGATGCTCAGTTATCTATATCCATATCTCCATGTAATCAAGCAAGTCAACAACCACATAAAAAGTGGCCAAGCTTTACAATGAAACGCCCAGTTAGATTAGGTTCTAACTCATCTTCCATAGGCACAAAAGAGACTGGAACAGGAAGACAGTCTTCCGCTTCACGCCCAATTATCCCTCTTAAATCAGGATCTCAAGATCGACCAGTTTGTCTTGCTCGGTCTTTATCTGCCGAGCGTCAATTTTCGAATCGCGAAAAACTTGTAGATTCGAAGTTCTTAACTTGTGATGATCAAACTGGTGATGATGTGTGTGACACATCAGTTTACCGCAAATCTTCTCAAAGTGCAAATAGCTCCTTAAAGCTGACTAATCAATCTGTTGTAAGTCAAATTTAAGTTATGTTTATTTTAGTGTTTACTACTACTAGATTACTTTTAAACTGGAAATTTAAAGCAAATTGGATTAAATATAATTTTCTGAATGACAGCACTACGTTCTGTCTCTTAAGACAAATTATGGTTAATTTATACCATCTCTAACTTTCTGTGATTTTGAATGAGTTAAATATTATACAATGTCTGTAAGGATTTGCATTTATTAATTATCTTCTAGAATACTCACCGTTCATGTAATCGCGATTCTAGTTCTTGTCAGTGTTATGTTAATATTCTCATCACTTGTTAGGGAAGTGTAATTTAAATGACAAACCAACCAAATATCTACCAATATTTCCAATGAATGGCACATCAATACAAGACTGATTTCACGAACAAACACAAATAAATGATAATTTTAATCAACTGATTGCAAATTTGGTTTTTGTTTTCAATACCCATGCAATCACCATAATCTTTTTGAATTAATTCTATACGATGTGTTTATATTAATTATTAAAACAATCCTAGCATTGACTAACAGTACTGATGTAATTAAACATTCTCAGTAAAAAAAAGCGTTTTACACTCCTGCAAATCATTTCATATTATTTGTGTATGATAAATCTATGCAGTTACCAAATTATATCCATATAACATATTTTTATTTACGGAAAGATATTTCAAGTAACTATTCTGCTTCAATTTTAATTTGTTGGTGTTTTGAAATGACATTTTCGCGGTAGTTTGACGCCTTGGTGGCATCAGCCATCAATTATAATCAACAAAACGGGTTGGATGTAGACTGGAATAATAATCATAACAGTGATGAATACGCTCTTTACCATTAAACTGACAAAATGAATATTTCAAATTTAAAAAAACCGAATCTATCTATGGGATGTAGACTGGAATATTACAAAATAAAGAAAAATAGTTTATTCTACCTCTGCTTTCTTCCCGCATGGACTTCATTAAATGTTCCAAGCGCCTTTAACTGATCAGTATGGTCTTTACAGAGGATGAAAGCATCGTTCATGTATTGGCTGTAAAAAAACCCAGTGAACTGCAACTAGCTCGTCTCCTAATTTTCCAAGAGAAAATACTGGCTGATATTTGGATTCAATAGTGAACCCATTTCTGCTCTATTCCCTTTTTTTGTATACTATTCCACCAAACATAATATTCATATCCATAATTTGTTTTAATGATAAGTTCTTAATTACATCTACTGGGATCATGATGTCTGTTCCCATTTCTCAAATTTTGTATCACATATAGTTACTGCCTCCATAAAAGGAACATTTGCATATAATCCTATCACATCTAATGATATCATCGTGTCTTCTCTAGTGTTTAAATTCTTGATGCAGTCTATAAATCAGAATACATCTCCCTTCAAATTGTACGATTAACTTGCGTGGACTTTTTTTTTCGCTAGTTACAAAATTTCTTAATCTATAATGTTTCCGTTGTATTTTACATATCTACACTAAAACACTGCTTCGTGGTATAATGGATAGTTGTTGTGCTGTTACATTCTAAGAGCTTGTTTCATCTTCATATTGTTTTTCAGTATACATTTATAAGGTAGTTTAAGGTCATATTACTACAAGTTCATATATTTGTCAATTCTTTAATAATAATATATGGATTTTCTTCGTTTGGAATGTATGTTTTTTGAGTTGGAAAGTATCCTACTTCCTAATAGTCAGTTTCTTAAAGTCATGTACCCTGTTTACCTTATTGATTTGTAACTGATGAATGACTGTCGGATGTCTGGTAGTGGAAGTAGTGTGATCATCTAAGATGACAAAGTAAAGTGAGTTGTAAGTGTATTGTATAAAATGCTTCGAGCACAAAATTATTACAATTATCCCTGGCATTACCACAAATGTATATCGACAATAGATTCTCAACCATTCAAGTTTGTATAAATAGCTTCTAAGATTAATGCCAGTTGAATAACTGCTTGGAATGTTATACTTCAGTTTTCACATAGGTTTATTCTTAGGCGTCAAATATTGTTTTTGATATTTATAGCTCTTATAAGCGTAATGAGATAGTCCTGAAAGATGTAAATAATATGCCTGACATCTAATCTATTGGATGTATTCAGTTGAGAATTTGAATATAAAACTTCTTATTTGTGTTTATTAGCTAGATTAAAGTGGTAATACTAATGCTCGCTTTAATAATGTTTCTCTGTATATAATGAATGAATATTTCCTTAATTATATTACTCTAAACTGAGGCAGTGTATAATTATTTTTCTTGTCAAGTTTTTCTCACTAGACTGAGCTTAAAATTTAAATTGAATATATTTCAGAGAACAAAATCGCTATCCACCTAGGTGAGCATGGATGTACATATGTACAGGTCAGGAAATTAAAGTCATTTTTTCAGATAAAATATCTACCTAAAGTAGTGCGATCATGAGTTTTCTTGTCAGTTTAATAATTAATCAAGGTCGAAAATAAAGGTCACAAGACAGACAACTGTTGTTCATTTCTCGTCTGAAAAACCATTTTATAGCTCACTGATAATAGTTGTATATAGATAGCCTTCCATAGCTAATACGACAGCTTTTAAAATCATAACTGTTAAATGCTGTATTACGAAATACAGCTGATATAATTATAGTAATATCATCGTTTTATTGATTAGAAACATCCCTAATTATTTGGGTCGTGTTTGATTAGCATTGGATAGAAATCGTACTACCACGAATAATTCATAGCATCCTGGATACCATTTTTATTCTATCATTTTTCTCCATTTCTTATCGTGTTCTGATCTCTCATTTTTAGTATTGTAGTTTGTTTAATAAATTTCATCTAAATTAGTTATTGTTGTTATTTATAACTGTAATCAATCCTTAATTATCCATTTTATTACATTTTCAGAGCTCAAAACTATCAGATAATATTTTACAAAATGAAACTACTCCACATTTAAAAGGTGGATTGTTAAAGAAAAGAAATGCTCTTGTAAACTTCTTTAGTCGTGGCAAACCTAAGCACAGGGGTAAACACCACCAAAGTCAGCATCAGTTAGTTGTGCCATCAGGATTACAGTCTAAATTAGAACATGAAGCTGTTCCTGACTGTACATTTCCTAATTCCGATGACCATGTTTGTAATTCTGAGGTAAATTTAGGAGACAATCCAATCATATCAACTGATAATATACCCAATGTTAAACCTCATGCTTTGGAATATACAACAGAATAACGCGGTCTAAATATTAAAAATTTGAGTTTGTATTTAGTTTATTAAAAGTATGAATCTCTTTCATCTTTGAGTATATTTTACCCATGTCATTTTACAAATGAACCTGTTGAGGATTAAACTAGATTTAGCATTTGATCTTTGCCAAAGTTCTTCATATCCGGTCAATATTGTTTACTTTCTGTATTGTGTCGGTAGTGTGAATTCATCCGTGTGCAATACATGCAATTCAAACTCTGATCTTTCATCATTTCATTATTTGACAACCAAACGCAGTAGCTTTTAATAAATACACGGTTGTAATCAGCTCAATATTCATAATTAGTTCTCCAGATCTATTTGCCTGTTTAGTTTCTAATATGTTATGTGGTGTTTATTGTAATTATTATTGCATTCAACAAATTCTTAATGTGTATTTTTTTCTTTAATGGACTCTACATTGTTTCATGACCTTCACTAAAAGTTTTCTATTTTCCATGTACCCATGACATTTGCCATTTTTCTTTTAACGATGGGACTCTTTTTCGTGGTGATTTTTCTCTTCAGACCTTATCAATTCTCTTAATAATAGTAATGATTACTACTATTATTATTGTGTTACTATATCCTGATTTAATCACCAATGAGAACCATTTACGTGGTTACTATTATCATTATGAATTGTATTTCAGAAACTTGTTTTTTATTTGTATATTTAGATTTTCCCGCGCAATTATTACTGTATGAATAGAAAACCAAATTAAACTATCAGAATATTTGTAATTTACAGCTTGAATTAATTCTTTAAATAATTTCATATTATGTGTTACTAAAAACCAAATAATTGATTTAATGACACATTATTTACGTACTTATTATTTTATTTATTTTCGGAAATATATTTCCCTATTTGTCATTATTCTTTCTTTCTGTTCTACATTGATTCTTACCGTTCTGTTTTTAATATATTATCTGTGAATGACATACACATCACGTTTTCGTGCATTTATGTTCATGAACAATACAATAACATAGACTATAGTATGTATCATCATGATTACTACCAATGAAAGGCTGTGTGACATCTCAATAAGGCATTTAATCAGTCTTCATTTGTGTCTTATTAAATTGTCTTCGATTACTAGAAAAAAGTTTTTAATTGCGGTTATTTTGAATCTCTTCATTTAATCGATACATACACATATATTCTTTATTACATTTTGTGTTAATTGTTACTTATTGGATATAATTAGATGCTTCTGCTATAACTATCCCTTCCCACCCATGTTGATTCTTCCACTTGTTTGCATATACGGCGGTGTTTGCCTTTAGTCTTTTTTATAGCATAATATATTCTGATATAAAAGACACTTGGTTGTTTTGTTCCTTGCTGTAATAACATTGAACTGTAGTTAACATCTTAGTGTTTTGAATAAGGCCTTCGTTCAAAAAACGACAGTCTTCTATCGATCCCCTCCATCGGTGGCTGATGGCGATTTGATCTATCTGGGTCCAACGTTGGGACGAATTCGAGGGTCGCCATGTCAAAAGATGTGTTTCCTTATGAAAAAGAGAATTCAGCGAAGAAATTTTTCTTTTCGACAAAATCATTTACTTAAGCTGTACGTTCGTATATATAGTTATATGGAGAAATTGTATAAGAACGTACAGCTTTTGTAAATGATTTCGTCGAAAAGAAAATTTTCTTCGCTGAATTCTCTTTTTCTTATTCAATAACACAATGGGTTATTTTTCCGTATTAGCAAGAAACAGGCGGTTATCTGAGCATAGCTGCAACAGACGGTCGACGTTATCTGTTCTTTGAGCCATGACACCATAAGATCCACCCAGGTGTCTTTCCCTTTCGCTTAGTTTACCTACTTGAGCACTAAAGTCACCGGACATTATTACTACATCCGAGCGCCTAGCTTTTCGGAGAAGGTCGGAGAGTTTTCTGTAAAACTCATCTTTTACATCATCTGCGATGCAGTCAGTGGGAGAATAGACAGAAACGACGAAGAGGCAACGACAAGTGTCCCCATCCTTCCGAGTCCTTACTGTTCCGTTTAGTCGGACAGTGCACAAACAAATGTTTACTGGGATCCAGTCTAAGAGAACTAGTTCTGCCCTAGGACTCAATGCTCCCAAATACACGAACAGTGAATCGAGTTGGTTCTATATTTTGACATGGTGAGGTCAAATGAATGACGCTACTCGGATCCTGTATGCGCGTTTCAGAGACGCAGTACTCATCGATGGCACGAGATTCTAAAGTTCTAGCTAAGGAAGCCTGATGTCCAATTTGGCACAATATTCGAACGTTAAAAGCTCCTAGATGTAGTTTGGAACGTGGTTTCAGGAGACCAGGAATAACGTTCCGCGTACTCGAATCGTTCGCACTAGCGGTGCAAGGCGATAAAGGGACGTGAGAAGGGTTAGTCGTGGAGATAAGAGAGTTATTAGGAGGCGTAGGAATGATTCGAATGTGACCAACTTGGTCTCGCGTGTTGTTACGTGCATGAGGGCTGATATCACTTCCCGGATGCCCACATCGTGGAAGGGTATTTCCTGAGGAACCTGGCAAGAAAGTTGGATTAGTGTTGGTCTTGACGACCTGGGAGCGTGACCTCAGAGTCCAAGGGCAACTGCTTGAGGCCGGTCGCGCACGGCCTTTCTGTAGGAGTTTTTTAACGTGTTAGCTCCGTCCTTCAAAGGGCCTTGCCGCCGGAGACGGAAATACGTGAGGTAAGGTGAGGTATGACATCTTTACGGTCAACCTTTTCTAACCCCTTCCCTCCTTGTGAGAATGCAGCATCGCTGCAGATGCTGGTTGTCCGAGGGAAACACCTTACTGCTGTCACACCCCTCTACAGTCAGCATTACGACTTCGCCCTCAGACCTTGAGTTGCTGCTTTTAGTCTTACCGTTCTCTAATCGACCTGCCTGACATGGTAGAACCTACAGGAACATATGTTCCAGCCAATATAGTTCGGTTGGGTCATCATGATAGGCAAGCCCGACCACCACGTCAAGGTAGCAGCTACGGTCGGGGGATACATACATCTAACGGACTCTGAAAATGTTTTCTGGAAGTTTGTATTCAACGTTGACAGTATTCCATGAACTAAAAAATATACATCTGGGGCTGACAGTCATAAATTTAGGATATAGAACTTTTATTCCATAAGTATTATGGATACCAGGAGGTATCCTTAGCACTTTCAAGAAAGCCGTGGGTTACAGCCTTTTTCAAAATCACGAGCACGATTACAGAGTTACACTACTTTTTGCAAATAATATTTGAGATCTTAGCCAGTCAAGAAATATCCGTCTTATTTGAGTTACTAGTTATTAGTCTGTATTTTTTTAGATGATTAGAAGTTTTCATTCTACAATTCAACATTATTTACTACTATCCATGTGTAATAAAGAGTTCATCTTCATCTATTCCTCATTAATAAGTGTATTCAATTAATAAAGTTGCAGCAACCTTAATCAACTGCGATTGCTATTTGATTTAATTGCTACAGCATATTTCCACTGTTATCGTTGATAGAATATTAGAACTTTGTGTGGATATACTTAAGAAAAGATTATTTTTAAAAATCAATTCCGCAATCTAAGGTATTGACAAAAAATCATCAGCAAGCAGGGAAAAACCTTATGAAAGACTTGACAATAATGCTCCTTCGATCAGACAAGGGTTCTGTTGTAATCATCCTAAACAGAGACGAATACATTAGCAAAGTAATGTACATTTTAAATAATTCCACGAGATTTATTATCGACAATACCCAGAAAGATCCAAAAGATGCGACTGAGAAGCGTGTTTTAAAGAAGTTGAGAGTAACCTAGAAGAAATTTTTTATTTATAATCCTACGTACAATGAACTCAAACCAACAGGATCACAATTACCTTACTTATACGGCTTACTTAAAATACACAATCCTATCATCCCAATGAGGTATATAATGTCAACGGTCAAATCAGCTTTCCACAAACTCGCCCACTGGTTGACTAGGTGTTTAGAATCAGTCCGTAAAAAGCAAACTCCCTACAGTCTGAAGGATAGTTTCGAATTTGTACAAATGCTTGATAGCTCAATGCTTTCGATAATTTCATGGTATCTTTTGACGTCTCGTCTCTCTCCACAAAGATTCCTTTGGAAGAAGCGACAGGTATCTTATGTGAATATCCTGAACTCCTTCCTTTGCCAGTCAATGAGTTTAAGCAGCCCCTGATTTTGTATACCGAAAATGTACAATAACAATTCAACAATGTGTTGTGCCGCTAACCTGATGGAGTAGCCATCTGTGTTCAATTCTGGCTATGTTTATGGGGGAACATAGGAAGCTCAAGCGCGTAATCGAAGGAACTACACTCTCTTGTAGATGATATATTTCTTATCCGCAACAATTATAAGCATTCTATGTAACTACTCAGTCTGTTTAACAAAGCATGTTCCGTACGGAAAATGAAATAAAAGATAGCGTCCATTTTTTAGATATTGGGATCACATGAACCTCAAACGGCATATTACAAAGAAACATCCATCACAAAAATGCCTGGAGTGGAGTTTATCTCAATTACAAGTTTTTGTCCAATAAGTTATATAAATGAACTTATACGAACCTCTTTTTGACCGCCCTCGTAAACTTTGCTCGAAGGAATGCCTGGAAGAACTTGCCTTCATTACAAACTGCCTTCGTAAAAATGCATGTCCAGAGAAATTCATAGAGAAGTATGCCCGAACCAACCTACGAGTTAAATATGATATAGTGAATAAGAAAGCCTGCTTCATATGTTTGCACTTCAAAGATGAAATCAATGAAATAATTAACCACAAGATAAATGTCGCGTTTGTGGTTGCTTATCCATCAGCAAAAATTGACGACGTTGTGTAAAACAAACTGCTGACTGAAACAAACAAAAACTGATACGACCTCTTTTCTCAGTACCACCAATTGCATTTACCGATTTACATGTACGTGCCAAACATGTACATTGGAAGAACAGAGGGAAAAGTGCATGTTCACATTTCCAATCACGTTCAAAGGAACTTGAGTATGAAAGGTGCAACATCTGTTAACAGCGCAATAGCTTGACATTTAACATCTGGCATACCATTAACATTCCACAAACTTTCAAAATTATTAGCAGACAAATAGTCTCGGCGTCTCTCCGGTTTGCCAAAGCACTAACAATAAAAAAAACTCAAATCTGATTTATGTATTCAGAAAGAGACTAATAAACTTATCACTACCTTGGTAAATTATTTTTGTCTTTATCAATATTACATTAGTGTTTACCTTGTTATATGGTCTTCCCTTAACTAATTCTTATTTTATTTGCACTAAAACCATCCCTTCACTTATACGTTTTCATTCATTTAATTCCCCTAACTTATTTAAACTCTTAAAATCTTGTTTCATTATCACGTAACCCATCTTGTCGATTTCTAACTTCATTAGTTTTATGTAAATCCTTCACAACCTCTAATATTATCACACATACAACCGTTATTACTGATAAGTATAAGTTGGTATATTAAACTATATAGTTAAATTATTTTATGCAATTAAATAACATTACCATTCTTTTAGGTTTGGTGATGATGATGATGATGATTACTATAAAAAGACATTTAAATAATTCATACAAATAGACCACAATTTCATCTGTTGTCCTGCGCTCAGTAACTTCAATGTATTTTTCAAACAAAATAGCTATACAACAACTAATTTTTGGTGATATTCGAGACCCTTAAAAGTATATTAGCAAATTAATTACAGCATTACAGCATTAACCCTGCCTGTAGCTCTTAAAGGGTTGCTGCCGGTCCCAAGCCCGGTTAAAGGAGGAGGGTTTGGCATAGGGTTAGCGTCCCCATCCCGTAGAAAACTAACTCGCTAAAAAAACGCTTACCAGAAAAAAATAATCCAAACCATTTTAACTTTGCCCTGGGAGTTAGAAGGTCTTCATTTAGAAAAATTATGACGCTTCATGGTGAAAGCCGAGTTCCTTCGGAAGCCACGAGGTCGATGCCCCTTCTAACAACCAGAGCAAAAATTTTTATAGGTACATGGAACGTTCGAACAATGTGGGAAACCGGGAAGACCAGTCAAATATCAATGAAAATGAAGAGACACAACTTAGCAGTACTGGGAATCAGCGAAACCCACTGGACCCAAGCTGGACAGAAAAGGCTAGCTATAGGAGAGATGCTGCTATACTCCGGTCACGAAGAGGACAATGCTCCACGCACTCAGGGAGTCGCTCTTATGCTGTCCAAAGTAGCACGAAATGCACTTGTAGGATGGGAATCTCACGGATCCAGAATCATCAAAGCATCATTCAAAAC